CTGGAGAAGAACAAGGGTGAAATCAGTTGGAATACGCTTCTTTTTGGAACTATTCATCAACCCATCAGCCCGGATTATTCCTAAATCCTTTTTCTTCAAATTCAACTAGACCAAGGATCAGAAACGGCCCACATCCAAGAGAGATGGGGAAATTTGCCTCTTGCTAATTCAGAAAAATGGTAAGAGGACGTTTTTCAAACTTAGTCCTTAATAAAACCTTATTCCAAATTAAAGCAGCAGTGCAGGAATTGACAAGCAGAAAAATCAATTATATTATAAATCTGGTTGCTCAGAGTTGCAGAAGGGTCTTCCTTGTAGTGAGAAGTAATGTGTTGGGTCAGGTAGAGAGAGTAGGTAAACTGTGTGGGTACTTGTGTTCCTGAGTGAGACAGGGTGTGGCCGGCCAGACTAAAAGACGTCCGAGGCCGAGCAGAAAGGAGTCCAAGGGCCAGTCTCAAGCCCATCCACAGGGACGGAAATCTACCTTGTCCAGTAAAGGTCAACAACTAGAAAGGGACTAAGGAGTGAATATTATCCGTCATGTAATTACTTTGTAATCGAATGTAAACATTATTGTGCGTACCGCTGTTCCCCTACAAAATTTATTGATTAAAGCAAAGCAAAACGTAAAATTCTGGATTCTTATTTCAACACCCCTTTTGTTCTTGGAAGTGGAAAACTTGGTTCAGAGAAACAACAGAAGCACGGGAGGTTTTAAACGGTTTTATTAGCTTTTCATTATAAAACAACATCCATGAGTCTTGTGTCTAGGCTCTAAACAACACCATATCGATTAACAATTGCAACGCTAAATCAGGAGATGAGCTACCGTTAACTTGTGCTTCTTCGTCTGCTAAACGTCCCCACTCCTGCTGCTAGGTCGAGCGAGGCACGAGGTGAGACTTTGGGTGTGGTGCAAGGATCGGAGGTAGTTAACAGTCTGGGTGAATCATCTCAACATAGCCTTAAACTAAAACTGTCCTAGGAAACGGCTGCGGGTAATACCTGAGCCATAGGATTAGTTTTGATACCCGTTGGAGGAGAGGCTGCGGTGAGGGCGTGGCACGTGTCCTGTGCCTACCTCACTCGGGAAAGCAAGACAACCGGCAACATATCCCTCCAGGAAAGCATGACCAGAGGGTGACAAAGCTTTCCAACCGAGCTCACCAGTGCATATCCCAGGCGGTCTCGGTGAACAACAACATCGCTCTGCTGGCCTACAGCATCTCAAAGAGGCTGCAGGAAGCAGACCTGCTGGAGGAAACAAAGAGCTCTCTCTGTAAAGCCGCTGACGTCATCTTAAACATGTGCACCACCTCTGCAGTCTACCTGTCCCGCATCGCCGCCGGATGACCATGATCCAGAGAACCACCTGGCTCCGCCTCTCACCATCCTTGTCTGAAAGGCTGCAGAAAGACCTGCTGGAGGGCCCCATCACCCCAGAGGTGCTGTTCGGGGCCAACTTCAGGACCATCCTTGAGAAATCGCAGAGGTCGGAGGAGGTCTCAGAGACTGTACACCATCTGGTGACGTCACAGTCCTCCTCCCACCCCTCCGGCTGCTGGAGGGACCGCCTTGGCCAGCAACAGCAGCAGAGGTGCTCCACAACTGCGGCAGAAACTTCACGCTCCACTCCTCCGCCGGCCCCCTCCACCAGGGAACAGTTCCTTGAGGGGAAGGTATGTGTTTTTTGATGATGTATGTTTTGATATAAAACAAACACCTCTGAATTTAAAGTGTTCATCTGAGACTGTCAGATCAGCTGATCTCACAGCTGCCTCTCATCACACATTCCCCACACAGAACGAGCCAGTAACCTCTAAACAGCATTTTAAATGGCACCGCAGTTCAGTAAATATCACAAAATACTCGTGTGCCACATCAGCTAAAATTGTGTTTTTTCAACAGACCGAGTCTGGTAAAATCCCTCGTTTTCAGCCAGAGCCCGTTTTTAATTTCTGCTGTTTTCTGCCCATTCACAGCGCAGCGGGAGTAAACGTGTTTCTCCACGACAGCTGCAGCCTCCACCAAAACGGCGTCTCACTCAGAAAGCACTCACGCCTCCTCTCGGTGCGCGCTAGCTCACCTCAGCTCTACTGTGAGACCGCAGCCTGGGCTCAGCACAGAGGCACACATACAGCCCTTTTTTTCTGTCGGAGCCCTCCTCGGGTTCCCCCGGAGAATCTCCGGAGCGAGTGATGGCAGTAAGGCTTTTTAGTCTGGTTGACATTCATGAGAAACATGACACAACACAAATGCGTGCCCGCTCTCCGAGCGTTACTCAGAGTGGCAGCGAGTGTGTTCCCTATATACCCTATATTTGTTATATATATATATATGTGTGTGTGTGTGTGTGTGTGTGTGTGTGTGTGTGTGTGTGTGTGTCTGTGTACAGGTATATATGTTTTTTTTACCAACATTGCTCCATGTATAGTGTTCAATAAAATTATTAAATTAATATTTACGAGAAGCAGCCACAAACCTTGTTTAATTGTTTCACAACAAAAGCTTTAATTTGAGCATTTCCTCCACATACATTACCAGATGTGTAAAATATACAAACAGATGCAATTTACATGTAAAAGATGTTCATATGCAGATTACTGAAGACAAGCTATTTTAAAAAGTTTTGAGAGAATTCTTCACAAGATCAATTCATTCGTTCATATATTTAAATGATAAAAAGATAAGATATATGGAGAGATTTCCAACACAGCTGCTTGCAGTAACGAATGTTCATCCAAGAAGTGTGACTTGAAGGAGCAGGGAGGCTCTAGACTGGTTTGTCTCCTTTTACATCAAGAGGCTCCTGATAATTTGATATTAGGCAGCAGCAGATGACCCACAGCTGATTGACTGAACCTCCAGACTGACTAGTACTCCTTCATCCTTCACATGGTCCTCTCTACTAAAATCCTCAGATGAGCCTGGGTCTTCAGGGTCTTCAGGGTCTTCTGGGTCTTCAGGGTCTTCTGGGTCTTCTGGGTCTTCTGGGTCTTCAGGGTGTCCTCTTTGCTGAGTTGCTGCTGCTGAGAAAGATGGACACAAGAAGAAAGTAAAAAGATTGTCATAGCTCTGCTCTCTGTCAGCTCCTCTGTCATGCTGCACACTC